GATGCTTACAGATTCGTCAACAACGATCGATTGGACATAAGCATTCTGTTGCGATTGTTTACTTACTTGCCTGGTGAGGATCAATATGCCCCGTGGACAGTTGCAGCCTCCGTCTTAACCACATATAATTCATATCTGAGCGGTAATGCCGATTACAGCGAGTTCAAGGCGTTCGTTGGCTCGCTCGTAAGCAATATTTATGAAAAACTGGGCGTCAATGAACCAGCCGGTGAACAATTTCTCCGCAAATTCACACGAAATACTGTAGTAAATCTCGCTTGCTTAGTGGGAGTTGAGAACTGTCTCACCGATGCCAATGACAAGTTGAAATCGCACATAAATAACGGTGTTGACATTGAACCTAATCTTAGATCGCAAGCTTACTGCAATGGTCTACGTCAAGCTAGCAATAGCGAATATACCTACTTCCTCAATGATTTGCTCAGTTCGAGCGACACCACCCACCGTACCAGACTGTTAAGTGCATTGGGTTGTTCGCAAAACGAAGCGCAATTGCAGTCGTTTGTGAGTAGTTCCATTAATTTAGGCAACTCGTTGACCAGTTCAGAACGCACCAGCATATTGAGTGCAGCCTACTCTCGCAGCCCATTGGGGCTATTAGTCTCTATTGATTTTCTTGGCAATAATTGGGATGCATACTCTAACCTATCCAACAGTACAGGCTCTAGTAATCCGCTTAGCAGAGATATTGTGAGCATGGGTAGTTATGTGAATAATGCAACCCAACAAGAGCAGGTAAGTCGCTGCAGTGAAAATCTGAAAAATTAGCGATAAGATTTGACGTATTTATTTTAATCATAATTTTACATTTTCAGCTCCTTGCGCTTGTGGACAAAGTTAAGAACAGCGCGAAAGTTCAAACGAACCTCGAAGAAGCAGTCAATGCCAACATAAAAGTGAACTTTGACTGGATAGATAAGAATGGCGGACAGGTAATAAGCTTTGTGAAAACTTATCGCTCAAATGGCAGTGCCGCACTCAGTGCATCTCTCATGTCTGCATTAATGGCAGTCCTTTTGACGCTGTCGCGCTTTTTGTAAGAAGCGATCGAAACACGAATTTATGAATTTCAACCAAATACAATGAATGCATTACGCTATAAGATATTTAAGTAAGATACATTGATACGAATTGTAAATAGAAAGTATTGATTTTTGTGTACATAATAAAATTAAAACAAGTAAAGAAGTATAAGTCCAACAGTACAGGCTCTAGTAATCCGCTTAGCAAATGGCTACGCCCGTTTTCCAAAATTTTTTAATATTCTTATTTTTCGCCTAAAACTTATTGTAAATATCAATTTTGAGTGAATAATCTTCAGTAGCTACTAAAATATCGCAGTTTTCGTATTTCTGAAAATTGTCCGATTTTGCCCATTTTCAATACCATCCGTCCTACGCCCGAAAGAAGTGCACATACCAAGTTTCGTTAAGATACCGCTTAATCGATTTCTCTTTTCATCCTGATCATTTATGTATACATTTGTCTTTATCTATCTCGATTCGTTTTGCCTGTTACAAACAACCGTTATGTGAACAAAGTTATAATACCCTTGTGCACAAGTGCGCTCGGGTATAAAAAGACAAATGAACTTCAGACAAGCCCAACTGTACTTCAGAAAAGCATAAATCTATATAAGAAAAAATATTTTTAGAATATTTTAACTAGGAAAACTTTTGCAATGCCAAACCTCCGAGTGTATTTCTCATAAAATCCATTTTTCAAGCTGAGGCGGTGTAAAAATGTGGGTCCATTCATTTGTGTAATAACAAGAAGATGCACGCCACAAATTGGAGAAGTTCGACCAAATACTTAACAAAAGTGTAAGCGCCATAGTATAGTATTATATATCTATTTACAAATTAAACCTCTACCCTTCTATCATTCCCCCCTTCGACCAATTGAAGAAGCCAGCTATGAACACCAATAATGCAGCGCTGCAGATAATGCCAACAAGCAATGCCAAAGCATCTACGAAAAAACTAAATGAGGACTCAATAGCACGGGGACAATCTACAGTAGATATAGTTTCTTTCGCTTGCTCTATTATTTGACCCATGTACTGCAGTCACATTTCTACCACTCCCGGTCCGCCCGTAGATGGAACGCCCATATTAGTTTTAGCATATTTTTTTCTTCATCCACATGTTCACCTTTATCCTTATATTAAGTATTTATGTAAATTTACTTTGTATTTATCTGTTACGTTGAGGTAACGTGAGCTGGAGTGAGTTCAGTTGAGTTAAGGTGAATTGGGGTGAGGTGAGTTGAAGTAAGGTGAGGTGAACAACATGTCATGACGAGTTGAAGTCTCGCTGTGATACCACGACTAAGAGTTTTCATTCCTCCTTGCTAAATCATTTTAAATCCTTGACGAAAGTTGTCAGGCACCTAGGTTTTAAGTCGCTCAATCTGCTCCTCGATAATACCAGGCAGTTACAGAGAAGGTTCTTGCAACTTCTGCAGCATCTAGGGTGAAGCAACCGAATCGTTCTATGTTTTTACCTATAAGGCAGTGGCCTGTTAGATATTAGAGAT